TGGAATGGCATATTCCACATCGAAGAACTCTGCTCCAATCTAATATGCAAACGAATGCACAAAGGGACACCTCTGACTGGGGCAAAGTGAAGGAATGGGCTCCACAGTAGGCCCAAGCTGCAGCATGAGTGTCCCTGCTGCTACGAATGATCTGACTCCATAGAAGGCATGGGTGGAAAAAATGAGGCTTAAGGCCAAGTTCCCATGGAAAACCCTCCACACAAACCCAAGGTACAGGGGAAGGCCGTGTTATCTGTAGCAGAGTGTTATACACCTGGGGACATACAACAGGTTCTGGGCCCTGGTGCAGACGGACACGTCATGGGTATCCCATGACGTGTATCTGCACTGCCTGCTGGCATTGGCTGGCTCTCTCAGACCTGCCAGGACATAAGGTCAGGCAGGCCCAAGAACAGTCCTCCTCAGGTGTGTGGCACATCTGGGATGGCAGGATAGCAGCACACTGTATACACGGTGGTCCAGGCCTGTGTGGGCTTCCACCCCACAATTCATTCTCACAGAACAGACCTGTATTCACACCATGGCCCATCTTTCCTAAAGGACCTCAAAAGGGCCTCGACTGAGGTCCAGGCTGGCTGTCGGGAGCCTCCCGTCTGTGTCACTCCACCTTCTCCATGGCAGGAGCTGTCCTATGCACTGGCGGGCACTGAAAAGCATCTCTACCTCTACCTACTCCATGCCAGTTCCTCGCCTAGTTGTGACAGCCCAAAGTGTCTCCAGACATTGTCCCCTTCCCCCAGGGGGAAACGATGGCTGTCTTTTAAGAACCACTGGTTTACAGAATGTCTTATCTTCCAGGTTCCCACACATAAGTTGTATTAGACCAAGGGGTAAATTTGACAGCAAAGACAGAGCAGGAGTGGGCGGTAACCAAGGGTCACTTCTAGAAGCTTCTAGCCTGACAGGGCATGCCTACTGACAGCCAGGGAAGGCCGGGCCCTAAAGAGATGGAAACTACCTCCAGGACCTGAGTATGCTCCAAAAGACAATGCCAGGGTCTGAGGACCAAGGGTGGGTGCCTCGAGCCCCGGCAGACCCCAACCAGGCTCCCAGAATGTGGGACTCTCCCCAAGGGGTGTGGCAAGGAGCCCCCGCCCCGGCCCAGACGGACAGCAGAGGCCCATGGTTCACCCACTGACCTTCCTCTTCTAAGGTCCCATAGACAGAGACGCCCCGGGAACGCAGAAGCGGTGTGATGGGGCAGGCCTGGCCCAGCTTGGAGGATGGGCCTGGTGGACGCTGTGGGGCAGGCTCAGCTGGGCAAAGCACGCCCGGCTCCTGATCCTGCGCCCAGGCCTGGGGATGCGGTGGGGGTCTGGCCCGATAGCGGCAGGAAGACACCTTCCCCGGGGACACTGGCCCTCTCGACCCCGGGAAATCTGCCTCCGGTCCCCCAGCCCCGCCGGACCGCCGTCCGGGCAGAGGCCGGGCCGTGT